ATCGTGCTCTCTCTCCTCTCTCCTCTCTCTCTCTCTCTCTTTCTCTCTCTCTCTCTCTTTCCGTTCCTATCGTGCTCTCTCTCCTCTCTCCCCCTTCTATCTCAGTCCTCTGCCTATCTTCACCGACCAGCCGCCACGCCTCCGCCGTGACCCGCCACTACAACCACTTCGCTTCTCCACCTACCCTCACCAGCCCGAGTCGCGCCGCCTCCGTGCCTCAATCGCCTGCAAATAGAGAATGCAACAATGTACGGGACTCCGAAGAAAAAGCCGACGACTATGACATCGGTTACCAGTCTCGGTGAAATCCTCTACCGACCTTCCCAGCGCCGCCACAGTCTCGTCGGCGTTATCAGTCTCGGCGGAGTCCTCTACCGACCTTCTCGCCGCCGCCAATGTCTCGTCTGTGTCCCATCATACCTAGCCTGTTGTTGTCTTCTCCGACGAGATGCGTGACAGAGACTTTCAATTTTTTATTTTTCTTTTTCGGGTAGCAGGAGTCGGGAATGGGTCATGGGAGGAGAGGACGTATGTGGCGGCGTTTGTACTGGCGACGACGGGTCTGGTGGATGTTGGCGGTGGATTAGGGATTTTTTTTTTTGGTTATGTCTGTTAATATTGGGGCATTTTTTTGGAAATTTGATATTGTTAGAGGACTCATATGCAATTTATTAAAAAAAAATGCATAATAATTAAATGCACAGCCATGTTACAAGAGATGCACAATAATGTCTCAATGCTTGCACATTAAAGAAATATGCACAATATTTTGGATTCTTTGCTGTTTGAATACTCTCAGTTTGAGTCAAGCTCCAGAAATTCAAGCCAAGTAATATTTTAGTATCAATATTAGCATCTAATAAGTAATTTACACAATATGGATAATTAAATTTCTAAAAAATAAAGACGATGTTGAACTATAATAACTAGATGTTAACAGAAAAAATAAACAATTGAAGTGATATATAAAGATTCAAACATAAAATTTTAGATTGATCAGTGTCGATCGCAATTGTGCAGTTTGACAAACATTACTGTGCAACTCATTTAATACTATTGTGCACGGTTTTGGTTGCTATTGTGTAGTTTGAATCGACCGAAATTTTGTCCCAAACCAAATTGAAACCGAGCTGGATTACTTGGTATATTTGGTCGGTTAACCAAAATACTGTATATAATTTCAAAAAAAAATTACTTTTATATAAAAACATAATTTGTAGTTTAATATCTAGTACTTTTTATATTTTTTTTGCTAAAAAATAAATAATATTCTTACATAAAAATATGGAAAAGGTGAAGATGCCAATAATAATAATAATAATAATAATAATAATAATAATAATAATAATAATAATAATAATAATAATAATTTTATCTAGTTCGGTCGGTATTGGGCATTGAACCGAAATAATTTTTATATTTAATATTTATTTTATTAATTTAATTAACAAGTGCATTTGTTATGCTAAAGTGCAATCTATTTAACACAAAAGTGCAACCCGTGAGTCATTAATGTGCAATATGTCCAATAAATTTTTAACATTTTATATTATTTTAATTTAATATTTTATATTATTTTGAAAATGATGTAATATATGTATGTATAAAAATATTTAAAAAATAATAATGATGTAATATCTCCTTGGTTTGAATTAATAATCTGTAGGTGTATAATAGTTTTTTTTTATTTTTTTCTTTTTTTTTATTCACAAATAATTCTATTACTTATCACTTTTGCACAAAAAAAAAAGGAAAAAAAAAATCAATATTTGCAATTTAATCCCTTCAAATAATCTAATTCTCACATGAAAACCCCCAATCCCAAATTGATTTTCAGCACGTATACGGCAGCGAGATTTCGAGCGCGGCCGGGTGGCGACGATGAGGAGTGGTTTACGCCGCAGTGTCAGTCGATGGTCGTCGAGCTCTTGCTCAAGCTCCACCACACACCGCCGCCTCTGTGCGAGCGGGCTCTGCAATCCCTGAAGATGATGCCACTGCTAGAGGATGACAATGACGGACATGGCGGGGCTGGCGCGGCGTCGACTGGTTTAGCGGCGGCGACCTCAACGGGTTTTGCGGCAACGACGACGGAGATTTTGTGGCTGGGGTCGTCAACCAGACATGATTTCGGTGGGAGGCGGGACGACGGCGCTGTCGTGGATGTCCGACGGAATTACTGTATGTGTGACTGTGTGTTAAGCCGTCTGGGGGATGTCCGGTGAGTGCAAGTTTGACGGTGTGTGTTGTGTGTGTGTGTGAGAGAGAGAGAGAGAGAGAAAAAAAGGGTGGGGTGGTGTGCGTGGGGTGGGGTGGGTGTGGGGTGGATTTTGGAGTGATTGACGGGTTGCAGTTGGGAGTTGGCAGGAGATTAAATATTATGTGGGGTCCACCTGTATGTGTGTTGTGTAAAAAATTACCACAATATCCTTAATAAAAGTATAATTTCAGATCTTTATTTAGACTATGTTTGGTAAAATTAGCTGATAAACTAGCTGATAGCTGATAAGCTAGCTTATAGCTTATATGTAATTTTTGAGCTTATAGCTTATAGCTTATGACTTGTAGCTGAAAAACTAGCTTATATGATAAAAGGTGTTTGGTAAATTAGCTGATAAGCTAGCTGAAATAAAAAAATTCAACTAGCTTATTTGAAAAGCTACCTAAAGTAGCTTATGAAATAAGCTCGAGCTTTTTAAAAAAAGCTCGTCCTACCAAACGAGACTTATTTTAAGCAGGGAGCTTATAGACTAACCAAATAAGCTAAAAGCTAGCTTATTTGGCTTACAAAACATACTCTTAACCATTAGATCATTCGATCTAATGGCTACGATTCATTCTCATTTCTTTCCCTGAACACCATTCTCACCGGAGCGTGACCCTATATATATATATATA